GATAACATGTTGGATAGTCACCTTATCCTTCTCGTTGTTTGTACCCAAAATCTCTGCTTGGCTGGCATCACAGGGTAGAGGTGGTGACCAGGGGCAGGATCAGCCCTCAACAGGGAGTGGGTTACTGTGTTGGGCTTTGTCCCCAGGTCATATAGGGAGGGAGGCGGCCAGCCTCACAGCGCTCGGGAGGGGCCCAGCCCTCTCCCAGGCCTCCACCCATACTCACCCCCAACCTCCAACCTCTGGCTCTATGGCCTGTGGGTGGACACTGGGACCAACTCCTCCCCCAACTATCAGCTGTAACCCCCGGGGGGTCAGGGGTCTGGGGGGTGGGTGCTAATGAAAGGTGCATTCAGGGAATTCAGGGCAGGTTGAGCGGCTGTGTCTGGTGAATATGAAATTTTTTTCTTACTTTATACTTTGAACGTGGTGCCACAAATGCATATTGCTTCTGTAATTATAAAAAAACAAAACATTAAAAATAAATATAATCTCACAGTAAAATGCTGGAAAGTTGCAGACGTTGCCAAGTACAATGAGAAATTCCTTCCGATGCCGCCCCCTGGAGATAACATTTGTGTCTGTCCCTCCAGATTTCTCTCCTAGGACAGGGTGACACAGCCATAAATAAATAGTCTCTAGTGGGACCTCTCTGTTCTCTGCTCACCTTCGTAGAGCCCGGCCCCCTTGTCAGTTCTGCATTCCGTGAACGATGCTAATATGTATTGGCACCTGCTGCATACAGAATCTGTTCTAGGCTCTGCCGATATGGCAGGGAGTAAAATGGACAAATTCCTGTCCCTGTGGGGCTTCCAGTTTCCTGGGAGAGATGGACAATCTACAAGGAAACAAACAACCAAGATCATTACAGCGGACGCCTGGGGGGCTTAGTCGGTGAAGCGTCTGACTTCGACTCAGGTCATGATCCCAGGGTCCTGGGACCCAGCCCTGCATCAGGCTCCCTGCTCAGAGGGGAGTCTGCTTCTCCCTCTCCCTCTGCCCTTCCTCCCTGCTCATGCGCTCTCTCTCAAATAAATTAATTAAAAAAAAAACCAATAACCAAGATCATTCCAGAACCAGAGAGGAGCTGGGAAGAAAAATCACAGGGCCTTTGCACAAGCAGGTCCCTCTGCCCTGGAGCGCGCTTCCTACAGATGCTCATGTGGTGTGCCCATCCTTGGCCACCTCCCTGCCCCCTCCCCTCACTCTGCACCCTGCTCGCCTGCCTCCTCCAGAGCACCCATCAGGGGTGGGTGTCTCAGTGTGTTTCTTTGTTTGCTCATCTAATACCTGTCTCCCGTCTTGGACTGGGTGCTGGGGCAGATCGGGAGCATGTCAGACCCATCTATGACCCAGCCACTGAGCCAGTGTGGGGCCCACAGCAGGATGACTCCGTATACTTGCTTAACTTATGGATTCTAAAGAAGGTAAAGGAAATAATCTTCCAAGCTGAGAAGTCATCTGAGGCAGCGTGGGGTGCGTCTTCAAGAGAAAGTTCTCGGGGGACATGGGTACCCTGACCCCAGGCTCGGGACCCGGCCGGCAGCTGACCTGGAAAGGCCTGCAGGAATCCAGGCCCCGGGGAAAGGAGCGGAGCTGCCTCATCTAGGGGCGAGGGGGCCGAGCAGAAGTGACCGGCCCCCCCCGACTCTCCTGGGTGATCAGAGGCATCCATGGGAGTGTGGGATGTGGAAGCCTCCCACCAGGTTCCTCTTGGGACAGCCTCACTCTTCTCCGAGGGCATCCGCACTCAGTTTTGACCATATTTGCCTCAGAGCCAAGTGGCCACCCGGTGGGGCCGTGGTATAAATATCAGTTTATTTACTCTGTGTCCCAGTAAAGCATGCTTCTGAGTAACGAAAGGCTTCCCTGTTTTTTTTGCGTAAGTTTGGAAACACGGCCCCGGGGCAGGAGATAATAGCCTGGGGCTCAGCTGCAGAGAGGTTTGCCGGAGGTTCTAAATCACCTTCACCAGGCTGGCCCGGGGCTCTTCCTCCCAGGCCACCCTACTGCAGCTTCCCCACCAGAAAGGAAAACAGCAAATTCTCTGTGAGGTCGGACCTCCTACCTGCCCCCTCGTGCAGGGGGCTGCTGTGGGCATTTGCCAACTTCCTGTAAACTGTGCCTTTGCTTTCCTCTGGGGAACCCGCCCTGGGTCCCAGGTGGTTCCAGATCCTTCTGCCCCTTCTACAAATGCCCGAGCTTCTCTTCTGTGCCCGGCACTGGGGCTGCAGCAGTAAAAAGATGGGTGTGGCTACTGCCCTGACAGGAGCTCACCTGATCAGGAACACAAGCAAAGAAATCACTGGGTTACAAATTTGTGAAGGAAACAAACAGGTGAGTGGCTGGAGAAGAATCAGGAGGGTCCAGGTCAGAGGTGGGTCCAGCAGAAGGCTCACTGGACAGAAGTCATACACAGAGGCAACAGTGGGAAGAGCATTCCAGAGGCGGTCACAGCACGTGCAAAGGCCCTGAGGTTGGATGTGCCCAGCCAGGCTGGAGGGCAGGGAGGCCTGCAAAGCAAGAGCGTGGTCTGGGAGCAGAGGTTGAGGTTGGCACAGTGGATAGGGAACCGGGTGGGGATGACTGTATCAAGCCACTCCCCCCAGCCCCCCACCAAAACAAAAACAGGCAGCTGGCGTGGCTTTGGCATAGCTTCCTGCGGGTTGGGAGCAAGGGGCCTGACTAGGAGCGCTCCCTGGCATCTTTGTTCTCCCCCCCTCCCCCTGGCACTGTTCCCCCAGCACCTCTGCATTTGCAGTGATGGAGCCAGAGACCATGGCCAGCATGACTTCCGCTCTTGCTTCCGTCTGGCCTCCCAGAATAGCGTTTGACACCTCCCTGAGGTCTCCACCTGCCACTCCTGGCTGTCTCCGCCCACCCTTCCTCCCCGACGAGGAGGGAAAGCACTCCTGTTCTTTGCGGGGGGACGAGTGGTGGGGATGGTTGGCTTAGTGGGAAGGGAGGGGACAGATAGGTCCCACGGAGCGGCGAGCCCCATTGGCCCAGCCTCCTTTGCACCCAGCTGCAGGCGGTCACCTCCCTGCTATGAACAGTGGTGGCATTTTCATCAGGATAGTTGCACAGCTTCTGTCTAGCAATGTATCGACTAGATGTCACAGAGGTGAGTCTGTCCCTTCCTGTCCCACACCCAGTATCCCCCCCAGAGGCATCCGGCACCTTCAGTTTGGACACACTTGCACTTTGCACGTCAGTCTATCCATTCCCACCAAGATCAAGTACGCGCCTGCGCCCTGCGAGGCACCCTTCCCTGAGATACGTCCTGAAGGGCCCCACCCAGCCCCCACAGGGTTTGCTCTTGCCTCCTTGCCAGCCGCGGGGTGTCCAGGGTGGGGCGTCTCTGTCGCCGGTGCCCTGGGATGCGGGCGGAAGCGGGGAGGGTGCATCACCTGGGACAAGCCGCCTGTGCCCGCGTCCGCCGTGGTCCGGTCGGTGAGCACCTGCTGGGACCTCACCTGCGCGCTCTTTCTCTGTCCCGGCTCAGCCCTGCCAGGCGGCCACATGCAAGGGCACATTTGGGGCCTAGGGGTCACACTTTTAAAATTCATTTTCCCAATTCAGTGACCCAGCAGGAACCTGGCCCCCCAACCCCCGAAATGGTTTCCCGTGTCCTTCTGGGGTGTCTAAAGGGGGTTCACGTGTGCCTCAAACCAAGCTTGGAGTCTTTCCTGTTCTTCTTTTTCCTGCTTTGCTCTCAGCTGCTCATGCCTGCCGCCCCCAGGCTCCTGAGAAAAGCTGCCTGGAGCCGCTGTCCCCAGACCCCCATGCCATGCCCAGGTTTTGGCCCGCAGGTGCCTGCAGAGCTCCAGCCTGTGAGCTGCCCGAGGACCTCAGGGCGGGGCTGAGGCTCCATGACAACTTCACCAGCCCCAACCCCTCCCTTGAAATAAACACAGACATAAATCCTTTCTCCATTTATTTAGTGAACAAGTACCAAATACAAGGTCCTAGTGGGTTAAGACAGAAACTGTGTAAATCATCAGGGAATAATTGTTTAATTTCAGGCTGATATACACCACAGAGAAGTGCTGAGCACTCCCAGGTGAGCCTCTGCCTCAGGGCCTTTGCACGTGCTATTCCCCTTACCTGGACTGCTCATCCCCAGGTATCCACAAGGCTCACCTCTTACCTTCCTCCATTAGAAATTACAGCCCCACGTTCCCTCTCCCTCCCCCGCTCATTTTTCTCCGTAGCGCTCTCGTCACACCTCAAACCTACCTTTTCCAGTTATTATTGCTGGAACATTCTTTACTTGTCTGTCGACTGCCTGTACCCCTAGGGAAGTGTAGGTCCACAGGGCAGGAATTTTTGTCTGTCTTCAGTGCCTGGAAAAGTGCCCGGTACAGAATAGCCGATCGGTAAGTATTTGTTGAATGAATGAATTACCTAACGGGGGATGTGACCTCAGCTAGTCGGGGGCTGAGGAAGAGAGTGTCAGGGGACATTTTCCCACCACTGGGGACAGATGCAGGTTTTGTGGGACTGTCTTTAAGAAAAAGAATATACATACAGTTACACGTCCAGCCTTAGGGCAAGACACCCAAAGCCAGACTGGCGTCAAGGAAGGGAAAGCACTCCAGGCAGAAGGAACAGCTGGTGGGAAGGCTGGTGGTGACTGAGAGCCAGAGAGAGACAGGGAGAAGGTCGGCGTGGACATAGCTTTGCTGGGCATCCAGAAGGGGCTGCAGAGCCACCGCGCTCCGGCCCGGAAGCGACGCGGTGTGACACAGCGGTGCCCTGGTTTCTGCGGGATCCCAGGGAGATCGCCCCGACAGATGACCTTTGGGTTCCAGCGGGACAGAGCCCTGTGCCAGCCACCACTTTCCCACTCTTTCCATTGACCAAGCAGAGGGTGGCCCCAGCGGCAGCCTTCCCTGTCAGCCTCCAGGAATGTGTCTCCCTGCCTTGAGGTCCCCGCTCACCCCTAACCCACCTGGAAAGCTCCCTCGAGGCTGCCTGGGGAGGCTCCCTCTCCCTCCCTCCCCGGGTTCCGCTCAGAATAAAAGCTGGGGCCCTGGCTGGGGACATGTGCCCTGGCCCCAAGCCACTGCCAGCCATTTGCATCACAAATGAGACTCAGGCTGTTGGGCTCCAGCCAGCCGGCCTGGTGCTGCCCTCGGTGACTTAAGGACACGAGCCAGGATCCAGCTGCTGCCCCCGCTGCCCCCTCCCCCAGCTGTCTCACCACACCCTCCGGGGAGTCACGGGCTCTCCAGCCTGCTCGGGATCCTCCTGACCAGGCAGCCCTCCTCAGCAGCCGGCCAAGGAGGGCTCTCGAAGGTCAGGGGGGCTCAGGACTTGACATCTTTTAGCTCTCATGCCAGGCCTCTTTACAGAGGAGGAATCTGAGGTTCCAAGAGGGGGACTGATATGCCCAAGGCTGCTCGGCTAATAGCCCGCAGAGCGGGGACTGGAACCCATGGCATTCTGCTCTAGAAGCTGCACTGTGGATGTGGGCCACCCCTCGAGGCTCATCTGTGTCTGTCCACCGGGCAGTGAGCACCGGTAGCTGAGTGCTGGGTGAGTAAATGACCATCTTAGCATGGACCTTTCTCTCCTGCATGGTCGGGGGAGGGGGCAAGCTGCTTCTCCTTCTAGACTGTGAGCCCGTGAGGTCGGGGCACTGCCCATGCCCACTTATGGTTCTAGCATGCAGCAAACGCTCAATAAGTGTTTCGGAAGTAAACCATCGAGGAAATCAATCCACAAACTTTGTTTTGAGCCCTGGTGTGCTTTCCCCCTGCAGGTTCTTTCCAAGGCAGAGGTAGATCATGTCTACCTCAGGTTCCCCAGGGCTGATCACGTGGTCTGGCCCTCAGTGGGGGTGCTGGAAGGTTCTCTGAGGTTTGTCAGTGACTTACTTGCCGTGGGCTGGCTGGGGCTCCTGCCTCAGCTCCCCTGTCTCTTCCTGGCTTGTCCCCTGGGGTTCTTCCCCACCCCAGGGCCTTTGCTCATGCTGTCCTCCTGCCTGGATGTGTCCCAGCAGTGGCTGCTTTTCCTCCTGTAGGATTGGCTTCATTGTCACCTCCTCAGAGGAGTCCCCGTGGCTGCCCCATCTAGCTGGAACCCTCAGATATTCTCTATCCCTACCCCATCTGTCTCCGGAGCCCCGAGCGTGCCCTCTGGTTGCTTTTTATTTGTTTTCTTAGATTGGCCTGTGTCCCCTTCCGAATAAAAGAGGGAGACAGATGCAGACACAGAGAAAAGCAGAACATGTGTGAGGGCGACAGCATGACTCACAGGCAGAGACACGAACAGAAACTGAAAGAAAAGCAGGAACGGAGTCGCGGAGAGAGAGGGAACCAGAGGAAGTGCCATGGTGGGGGAAGGGGAGGGGGCCGGCGGCCGTCCTTCTGGGGTGATAGAGATGTTCTGGGACTTGATTGTGTGACAGGGGCAGTGCAAACTCCCAGCCACAGAACTGTGTGTGTGTAAAGGGTGCATTTTATGGAATGTGAATTATCTCTCATTTTAAAACACAAGAGAACATCAGATAAACCCAAATTGAAGTACAATCTACAAAATACAGGACTGACCCTCTTCAAACACAGCAAGGCCATGAAAGAACAGAAAGGAGTGGAAAGCCTCCCCAGGCCAAGATGACCAAAGGCTTGGGTATCCTCGAGCAGAAAGGGGACGTGAGGGGGGAAATTGGTGAACTCCAAATAAAGTCTATAGTCAATGGTACTGCATCGATGTGAATGTCTTGGTTCTGACAATTGTGCTATTATGTAGGGCATTGCTATTAGGAGAAGCTGGGGGGCGGGGATATGCACACTTTCTGCAAGTCTAAAATACAAAGTTAAAACAAAGAAAACAGAAATGACAGAGAGCTGCAGGGGACAGGGAGCTGCCTGTCCTGCGGGCCCAGCAGGGACCACCAGCCCAGGCCTCTGCAAAATTAAAGCCTGGACTGGGGGGAGGGGCGGGTTGCCCTGCCTAGAGTTGGTTTCCCCATCATCGCCAGAAAGACTGCTGAAAATTCAGGGTGACACCTCTCATTCATCTAAGGGGTTCAGCTGTGGTTGGAGCTGCCCTGGGGGCTCCCTTCCACCCACCCGTGATTGTGTCTAAATGTATCTGCGGCTGCCCATGCCCCTCACCCCCCAGTCCTGGGTACCTACCAGCAGGCTCCTGCAAAGCTCCAGGGGGTCCTTCTGCAGGAGACAAAAACCACCTGATCTCGCTTTCCTGTGAAAGTAGCCAAGTGGCAGCCCCATGCTACGGTTGGGGCCGGGTCATGTGGGACCCGGCACAGGACGTACAGATCTGCTTTCTGTCCCCCTTGCTGGCCTCTGGGCTCCTGAAGGGAAAATGCTTGGTTTTGTTTCCCTGGAACACAGCCCTGGGCCAGGCATGTAGTAGGTGCTCAATTAAGGCTTGTACATTTCTGAGGCACCTGACTCACAGGATGGTAGTAAAAGAATAGATACTTTCTAATCCAGTGGCTTACAAGCTTTTAAAAGTGGTGAAATCTTTCAAAATTGAAAAGGTACGGAATGCTTCAGAAAAGAATAAAATCTCCACCACCGCCACCCGGAATTAAACATAAATTCTGCTATAACTCCCACCCCACCCCCTCACCTGCCCAGAGCCAGCCTCTGGGGGAGAGAAGGTGGGAGCCTCAGCCTCCTGCCCTGGTCTTTACCCAATTATTGATGGTGACTGTCCACTTACAGCATTCTCTTTGTGCGTGTCGTTCTAACTTGTATGCGAGCCGCCTTGTGCTGTGTGCGGTGCTCTGATGTTCTGTTTTCCTCTCGACAGCAGGTTGAGGTCGTAGAGAGGAATCCATCCTTGTAAGGAGCAGCCTCTACCCCCATCCCCCACCCCCTCCCGCCCCGGGGGGGGCAGCCCCCTCACGTCACAGGTGTGCAGCCTTGGTAGTCACGTGGGGCTCAGAGGGGCCCTGCACCAGGTTTAACACTCTGCTGTCTCCATCTTGAAATTCTTAGTTTCTTTTGAGCAAGGGGCCCCACATTCTCCTTCTGACTGGGCCTCGTCAATCTGACAACATGCAGCACCGACTGAGCCCTTGTCCTGTGCCAGACCCTGTTCTAGGCCATCAGGTGGCACGAACGTCACCCCTGAATCCTCCCCAAGACTCTCTGAAAGGTGCGGTTTTCATCAGCCCATTCTGCAGACGGGGAAACTGAAGTTCAGAGAGCTCCTGACTCTGGTGCCCCTGCCTGAACCACCACGGGACAGCCCCTTTGAAGATCAAATCTGGTCCAGGTCCCTTTCTCTCAAACCAAGGTGCAGAGCGGGTAAGGCTCGCTCACGTGGACGGGCCCGGGGAAGCACAGCCAGCTTCCGGGCCACCATCAGCCAGGAGCCGGAGGCCCCCCCAGCCTGGCGGCTGAATTCATTTCATGCATTTCCTTTCCCGTGGGGACTGTCTCAGTGAGCAACCCCCGGGGTGTTAGAACAGCCTCTTCCTCTGAGACCTGCCTTCTATAATTAGCTGCCAGGCCTCACCGGCTTAGCCAGGCCCCGGCTGTGGAGGGCCGGGCCTGCGGCTGCTTCCGGCCAACGGGTTTCCACGCTCTTCCCCAAGAACCCCAGAAAGCCTGGGGGCAGGGCTGTGTGTGGGGGGGTGCTCAGGGCCCGAGGCCCACGGAAGAGGCCCTCTCTGGCTTCCCTGGCAGGCTCTCCCGCTACCTTCGCAGTCATGGGGGCAGACAGGATTCGTTTCTAGAAGCCGAGAGAAGCCCACCCATCTCATTCGTTCACTCGTGGAACTCGGGTTTCCCGAGTGTCTTCTGTGCGTCCGGAGCTGTTCTGCCCCATGGAGCTGAGACATAAGTAAACGCATCCATAAACGAGAAACAGAAACAGAGTGACTTAAGGAAAAGCAGAGAGGTTGATAAATTAGGGAGATGGATGGAGAAGGGGGATGGGTGGGGCTCACTCCAGCAGCATGGTCGGGGGCCCCCAGGGTGTGAAGAGCCTGGAATGGGACAAGAGGTTCACGGACGACCGAAGGCGGAGGGGACGGCAGGTGCCTGGGTTGGGGGCAGGGCAAGTTGGAGAGAGAGGTGGCTGAGGTCCAGCAGGTCCCCCCACCGTGGGTCACCAAGCCAGGGGCTGGGCTTCAAAGATCCCAAAGATCCCAAAGATCGGAAGAAGCCACCAGACAGCGGACGCTAGCTTTGTCTTGCCAGAGTCTAGAGCAGGGGTTCTCCACTAGGGGCGATTCTGCTCCCCAGGGGACACCGGGCAGTCTGAAAATGTTTTCTGTGTCACAACTGGGGAGGGGGTGCTCCTGGCATCTAGAGGGTGGAAGTCAGGGACGCTGCTCACCACCCTGCGGTGCCCAGAATGTCCCCAAGTGTCAGTGGCAGGAGGCTGGCTGAGGAGGTGGTGACTAAGGTGACAGTGGAGGAGGAGAGAGGCGGGGGGTTTGGGGTATGCTCTCAAGGCAGAGCAGACAGGACAAGGCAACAAGCACACTGTGCAGAAGGAATGTCATAGGGAACGGCCCACGAGGAGAGGTGGGGAGAGAGGCCCCTGGTGGCAGGACAAGCTGCAGAGGCCGCCCTGGAGAGCCTGGGGGGGAGATCTGCGGGGAGACGGGGGCAGGTGCACAGGCAGGTGGAAAAGGATCTTGAATTTGGGTGAAGAGGTGGGATGAAGGCGGGAAGCAGGTGGGGGTCACATCCTGCCTGGCTTCGTGGGCGCAGAAGAGGACTTTCACTGGCAGACTCTAAATGCAAAGGTATTCAGAGCACTGGACTGGGGCGTCCAGACACTGGGTTTCAGCTTGAATTGAGACTAACTGGCCAGGTGACTTTGGAGAAATTACCCTTTGGGGGCCCCAGTTCCCTCTCTGTCCATGCTTCTGTCCTGTCCCCCAGGGGGGTTCTGGGCAAGGTCAATGCGGTGCTTGGTATTGGGACCTAGGATGTGCATGGGATGCGGATGTGACTTCTCATTCTGCTAAGTGTTTAGGAGTGACCCCCGAGAGCTGTAACCTCAAGTCGCAAGTGTGGGTGATCCCCAGGAACCAGGCAGGGGATCTTTAACCAGCTCAGGCATCATTGCCAAGTGGGCATGTGTCTGCGGGACTGTTCCAGGGCGATCTCCAATAGCACCCCCCCATGTGGTGGGATGATGCCATAACAGCAGTGAAGTTTGGTGGGGAACCAGCTGCACCCCCCACCTGTTGAGGATGATTTGGGCGTCCTTGGGTGATTCCAGGTGATGGGGGGACCCAAGAAGGAGTTCTGGGTGTCTTGCTAATAAAGCACCAGGAGCCTAAGTGATCAAGGAATAAGGAGAGTCATCACCTTATCACGACTTGGTGGAGGGGTTTATTCTGACTCTACAGTTTGGAAGGACAGTTTCTTGGGCCCCAGGGATTCCTGGGAGAGCGGGGAGGAGGGTGCAGGGGGTAGCAGTCAAAGGTACGGGAATGGTGTCTGTTACCCTTCTGTCGCAATGACTGGCTTGTTGCTCTAAGAATGCAATCAATTCTTCTGGTCCCCCGTTTCTTCCTCCCCCAGCCTCGGTGCCTGCAA